CACAGCTGTTTACTGCCTCAGGTATTAATCACTTACTCTGGGTTAATTAATAAACAACAGTCATTTTATTAAGTATAAAAAGTAGGATTTAAGTGATTTCAAGTAATAACAGACAGAACAAAGTAGGTCACCAAGCAAAATAAAGCAAAAACACACAAGTCTAAGCCTAATACATTATGAAACTGATTACAGGTAAAATCTCACCCTCAGAGATGTTCTAATAAGCTTCTTTCACAGACTAGACTCCTTCCTAGTCTAGGCCCAATCTTTTCCCCTGGTACAGTCCTTGTTAGTTCCAGCAGCCATCTTAGGTGTTAACTAGGGGTTTTCTCATGACCGGCAGCCTCTTTGTCCTGCTCCACCCCCTTTTTATAGGTTTTGCACAAGGCAGGAGTCCTTTGTCTGTGCTTGGCCCCCATCCCTCCTTCTGAATGGAAAAGGACAAGGATTAAGATGGATTCCAGTATCAAGTGATATGATCACATGTCCTGTGAGACCCCAGCCTCCATTCTTCCTGAGCTGGCCCACACGTACACAGGAAGGTTTGCAAGTAAGCAGAGCCATTTACAACCAATGTCCTAATCAATGGGGGCCATCAAGATTCTAAACCACCATTAATGGCCCACACTTTGCATAATTACAATAGGACCTCAGAGATATACTTCATATTTTTAGCTTCAGATACAAGAATGATACATACATACAAATAGGAGGAATATATTCAGTAGGTTATAACCTTTGTTATGATACCTTATAAGAGACCTTTTGCATAAAGCATATTCCAGTTACATCATATTCACACTCATAAGCATATTTCCATAAAACATATGGAGTGCAATGTCACAATTAGATATTAGGAAAAACTTTCAAACTATAAGGATAGTAGGAATAGGCTTCCAAGAGAGGCTGTGGAATCTGTGTCATTGGAGGTTTTTAAAACTAGGTTAGACCAACGCCTGTCAGGGATAGTGTAGGTGCACTTAAACCAGCCTCAAAGCAGGGGGATGGACTAGATGACCTGTTGAGGCCCCTTCCAGCTCTACATTTCTATGATTTTATAGCATGGAACCACTATGCATGGAATACCCATCATGAGCCACAACACCAGGCTTCTACCACCCCCATGTTCAATTGCCTCAACTGAAAAAAATATACTTAGCATTTATATATCGCTATACATGTTCAAAGCATTGTACAGAGATTAACTAAATTAATCCTGACAAGACCCTTATGCTGTAGGAACACAGAAATTGCCATGTGAGATTTAAACAGTGGCCTGTCTTTGACAGTGGCCAGTACCAGAGCTTTAGGGACAGGCGCAAGAAACTCTGCAGAAGAAACATATTGGATAACCTGTCCATAAAGAGAGTTTCTTTATAACCCCCAGTAGTTACAGGCTGTCTTATGCCCTAAAGCATAAGGGTTTATAGCTCTTCCAAACTTTGGTTTTTTAAATCCTAATTGTTGTAACTCTGGATGTTTTCCTCATTGTATAAATGTCCCATTTATTTTAATTCTGCCAAGTATTTGGCCTCAGTGATATTTTGTGCTAATTAACTCCACAGACCAATTGCATTTTGTATTACTGTCCCCAGGTACAAATAAGAAAACTGAGACAGCAAAGCACTGGCAGATACAGGATTTTAACTCAAGGTCAGGTCAGGATTGTGATCTCCTGACACACCTTCACCTTCCCAACAAAACCCCCATTGATCACCATGTTGTGTGTTAGCCTTGCTAAGTATCTACTTAATCCTATTGTTATAACTTCTTCCCTTCTTCTTCTGGCCTCTCTGTACAGAGGTGCAACCACAAAAAAACAAACCAAACCAAACCAGGGATCAGGAAGAACAAAATTAAAAGGGAGGAGGCTCTGGGATTTCTTCCCAGGACAAATGAAATAGCAATTTACATCCCTCAAGAACCACATCTCTTGCCCAAATCTCTCCCTTCTTCCCTTCAGTCTCAGCTTCTGGGAGGTCCAGGACTTCTTATGCCCCAGAAGCATCCCATAAAGCTCACATTTCGGCTTCATTTCCCTGCACTCATTGTCTACAGGAACTCCTCCCCAAACACACTCCAAACATCTCCCCTTCTTTCCCACTTTAGTACTTAGGAATTCCTCCCTCCTTCCCACTTTCCATCACTTCTGACCTCCCTCCTCTGGGACCTGCTTGGGCTGCTGCTGCTACCTTCTGTGATCTGATGAGAGAGAAGATCTTTATGCCACTATTCCTGGTTTCTCTCTTGAACCTAGTACATTTTTGGGTGCTGTGAAATAATTAGTAAGAGTAGTAAGACTTTTCCATAGCTAATATGGTTCTATGATAATTGTAAAAGGAACTCCATGGCATGGACTGTTGAACAGAATGACAGAAGCATTTCTCAAGTGGCTGTAGACACCAATCCTTTGGCCTTGTGCCACATGGCCCTGCAAAGGCATGTGATTATGGTAGAACAGTTCATTGTCTAGTGTGGTATTGCTCAGATATTAAACAAACAAACATTAATAGAATGTTTCAGAATAGTGCCCTGTTTATGGACATGACATAAAACTGAGCCCTTGACAATTAAAAAGCAACAGTTTTAAAACTCAGAAAAGGAAAATCTTTTTTACACAATGCATAATTAACCTATGGAACTCATTGCCACAATGTATCACTGAGGCCAAGATCTTAGTAGGATTTTTAAAAAAAAATTAGACATTTACATGCATAGGGACAACATTCAGTTACATTGCATAGAAGAAGGACTACAAACTGTAATGGTTTAGGATATAAACTAACTACTAACTGACAAAGATTAGGAAGAAATTTCTCCTTCAGGTAGGTAGGTTATATCATATTTGTCCATTATGTGATTTCTTGCATTTTCTTCTGATGTATTTTATAGAATCATAGGACTGGAAGGGACCTCGAGAGGTCATCTAATCCAGTCCCCTGCACTCATGGCTGGAGTAAGTATTATCTAGACCATCCCTGACACGTGTTTGTCTAACCTGCTTTTAAAAATCACCAATGCTGGAGATTCCACAATGTCCCAAGGCAATTTATTCCAGTGCTTAACCACCATAACAGTTAGGAAGTTTTTCCTAATGTCCAACTTAAACCTCCCTTGCTGCAATATATGCCCATTGCTTCTTGTCCTATCCTCAGAGGTTAGGAAGAACAATTTTTCTCCCTCCTCCTTGTAACAACCTTTTATGTACTTGAAAACTGTTATCCTGTCCCCTCTCAGTCTTCTCTTTTCTAGGCTAAACAAACCCATTTTTTTCAATCTTCCCTCATAGGTCTTGTTTTCTAGACCCTTAATCATTTTTGTTGCTCTTTGGACTTTCTCCAATTTGTCTATATCTTTCCTGAAATGTGGCGCCCAGAACTGGACACAATACTCCAACAGAGACCTAATCAGAGCGGAGTAGAGTGGAAGAATTACTTCTCGTGTCTTGCTTACAACACTCCTGCTAATACATCCCAGAATGATGTTCGCTTTTTTTGCAACAGCGTTACACTGTTGACTCATAATTTACACTGGCAAGTGAACGACAAAACTTTTGTCATTCAGAGGTGCTAAAAAAACACCCCCCCCCAAAAGACAAAAGTTTTGTTGAGGAAAAGCGACAGTATGAACAGCGCTTTGTTGGCAAGAGTGCCCTCCCGCTGATTGTTGGGGGCGGAAGTTTTTTGTCCTCGGGAGAACTCTTTCCTGCCGACAAACAGTGGCTACGCTGCGCATCTTTTAGCGGCATGGCTGCAACAGCACAGCCGTGCCACTAAAAGCTGCGTAGTGTAAACAAAGCCATATTTAGCTTGTGATCCACTATGACCCCCCCAGTCCTTATTGAATTTCGTCCTATTTACTTCAGACCATTTCTCCAGTTTGGTACAATCTTAACTCTTTACATTTAAAAGATTGATTTGTTTGAAATATCATTGCAATGATGGTTTATTATAAAAAAATGAAGTGCAACCCACATTAGGAAAGAATGGATCTGAGTTCCACTAGTGTGTCCTGTAAACTTGGGTTTACAGCTGCTAGGTGATCCTCCTGTAACTCAAGCAGCAAGGGCCACCTGCTTTTTGCGCTACAAATCTCGGGCTCAGTCATTAATCGTCTAAATGGGGGTTAAAATATTGAATGTAACTTCTTCCTCGGGCCCCTTTAGCGTGTGGCTGATAATCAATTCTGTAGGGCAGATTCCCTTCCCACCCAGACTGTGCACAGGGAATGAAAATTGGCTCCACCTCCCCAGGGCCTAGGGGCAGTGCTTCTATATCCTGGGAACAGGGGCGGCTCCAGGCACCAGCGCAGCAAGCGCATGCCTGGGGCGGCCTGCCGGTCGCTGTGAGGGCGGTAGTCAGGCAGCCTTCAGCAGCATGCCTGCGGGATGTCCACCGGTCCTGCGGCTTCGGCGGTAATTCGGTGATGGGTACGCCAAAGGCGTGGGACTGGCAGATCACCCGCAGAAACGCCGCCGAATCTGCAAGACTGCCGTGCTTGGGGCGGCAACAAACAGAGAGCCGCCCTTGCCTGGGAAATTTCCCAAAATCTGGGAATTTCTGAGTAAAAATGTTTTGAATGAAAATTCCCAGTTTCCCAGGTTGAAACATTTTACTCACAAATTCCCAGGTTTGGGGAAATTTCCCAGGATAGAGAAGCACTGTAAACAACTTTATCTGGGAATTTTTCACCAGATTTGGGAAATTTTTACCACTAAGTTGGGAAAAGGTCTCACGATATAGAAGCACTGCCTAGGGGAGTCGGAGGGGGGGGATGATGATGGAAAGAGGGGGTCGGGTCGGGACCGGGCTAGCCAGCGCTGCGCCCCGGCCCGCTGGCGGCCAGTCCCAGCGGAGCTGAGAGGCCAACACAGAAGCGGCCCCAGGGCGCAAGCCCCCGTAGCAGCACGTGCCGCGCGTCAGGCGGCACCATCCATTGCTACCGGAACCCAAGCGCGCGGCCCCGGTTCCCGGCCGGTTGCCTTCCCCAGCGCTCCGCAGGCCGTTGCTATGGCTCGGGGCCCGAGGCAGCGCGGGCGGTGAGGCGTGCGGGTCCCAGGCATGGAGGAAGAGGACACGGTGAGTGGTGGTCCGGAGCCGCCCCGTGCCGGGTTTGCACCCCTCGGGGAGGCGGAGGGGGGAGGACCGGGAGCGAGGAGGTAATGGGGGGGGGAGGCCAGGGGGGTGGGTGGGGGGAAGGTTGAGGTGGGGGTAGGTAATGGGGTAGCTGTGGTGGGAGGAGTGCGAGGACATGGGCTGTGTGTGTGGGGAGTGAGGATTGAGGTAGGTAATGGGGTGGTTGTGGGCGGGGGTGGGGTTGAGGTGGTGGGGTATAGGTGGTGGGGGCAGTTTTCGGGTGAGGAGTTTTTGAAGGTCTGGGTTGGGAGGTGAGAATGGAGCAGGTTGGGTTGAGGTGTGGCTGTAGGTAATGGGGTGGTGGTTGTGGGGTAACGCATTTTTGAGGGCGTGAGTTGTGGGGGGTGAGGATGTGGAGCGGTGGGGTGGGGCTTGTAGGTAATGGGGTGGTTTGGCATGAGCTGTTTTTGAGGTCATGGGTTGGGGTGGGTGAGGAAGGGGAGCTTGCGGGAAGAGTGCAGGAAACGGGCATGGTCTGTGGTCTTTTTCAGGGCCTGTTGGTCTCAGGGTTGGTGCTGGGGGCTTAGAGACTGGGAGGCTTGGTTTAAGGGGATGGTGGTTTTTCAGGAGGTAGCAGTGTTTATTTGTATGTAGCAGGTTTGTATCTTCTTATTAGATCCAGTGCAAAATAATCCTGAGCATGACTGAAATTCAGAAATACTGGAATCTACTGAGCATTAACTACACCTCTACCCCGATATAACACTGTCCTCGGGAGCCAAAAAATCTTATCGCGTTATAGGTGAAACCACTTTATATCGAACTTGCTTTGATCCGCCGGAGCGCGCAGCCCCGCCCGCCCAGAGCGCTGCTTTACCGTGTTATATCCGAATTCATGTTATATCGGGTCGCGTTATATCGGGGTAGAGGTGTAGTTTCAGTCCCAGTTTAGCTAGAGTTTTGGAAACATAAGGTGGAGAACGAAATAGTTAAGAGGGCTGTTTCTAAGGATTGGCGGAAAATCTCTGATTTAAGAAAATGTAATGCTTCACATGGTTCATTGAAATAACTTTGCGGTTTGCATGATGAAAGGACACTGGCATAGATTTAGGATCCACTGTGGGCAAATCAGCGCAAGTGACTTTTGGGGTTAGCTTGTCTTTCTTCTGCTAGCTGGATTAGACAACCTGATATAATCTCTCGTTAAACCCTGCAAATCATGCAGATGACTCTTGAGTAAACTAACATTTTTCAAACAGAATTTTAGGATGTTTTTCAAAAACTATTTCCTCCATTGATTCTCTCCCATCTCCTCAGACCTTCCTTAATGAGACCTTAATTTTTTTAATAATCTCCTCTTTTCTTGGGTCTCTCTGGTCACCTTTTATTCTTGCAGGCTTTCTTCCATTCCTTGTGTTCTCTAACTTTTTCCAGTATTCAAAAAGCTTACCAAAGTTTCCCTTTGCTTCCTTTTATGACTGTCCTCTACTATTCTCTTCCCTTTCTAATGTTTTCATTAATGCCCTGTGGTGTCATGTATCCTAGGCGTAGGATACATGGGTTTTCCCCTGTGATAGTATTGCCATGTACAAAAGTTAACACAGGTCAGGTAAAGAATTGGAAAACATACATTACAGTGCTAGACCCAAGAATCTCAACTCTATTTAGTTTAACAAAGAGAACGTTAAGGGGTGACTTGATCACAGTTTATAAGTGCCTATGGGGGGGACAAAAAATGTGCTAATGGGCTCCTCAGTCTAGCAGACAAAGTTATAGAAAAAGATCCCATATCTGGAAGTTGAAGCTAGACAAAGTCAGGCTGGAAATGAGGTACAATTTTTTATCCGTGAGTGTAGCTAACCATTGAAACAATTTTCCAGAGGTTTTGGTGGATTCTTCATCACTGGAAACTTTTAAATCGAGGCTGGAAGTTTTTCTAAAAGATGTGCCCTAGTTCAAACAAAAATTAATTCGGGGAGGCCCATGGCCTGTGTCATACAGGATATAAGATTAGATTATTATAGTGGTCCTTTCTGACTTTATAATTGATGAACTGAAGAAGGGATTGAGTCGTCCTAAATCTTATGTAACTATTGATCCTGTAAGTGGTATGATCACTCTGCCATATACTAAAATGTTTTGTTAACCACATTTTGTTTTGTAAATATTTCAATCCCAATAGTTTGCCTGGTAAGAAAAATTAATTTGGTCTCATTTATTGTAAGTGTAATACTAAAACAACCTTTACTTTTGTTCCCCTTAGAGAGATTACGGCGAACCTTGTGTACAGTGTTCTGTCGTAAACTGGGGTCTTACTGATGAAGGCAGATTTTATTGCAAGTCTTGTCACAACGTCATAGAGGTAAGTATGTATTTTTAAGTATCAGAGGGGTAGCCGTGTTAGTCTGGATCTGTAAAAAGCAACAGAGAGTCCTGTGGCACCTTTAAGACTAACAGATGTATTGGAGCATAAGCTTTCATGGGTGAATACCCACTTCGTCAGACGCAGGTAATGGAAATTTCCAGAGGCAGGTATAAATATGCAGGCAAGAATCAGTCTGGAGATAACAAGGTTAGTTCAATCAGGGAGGGTGAGGTCCTCTGCTAGCAGTTGAGGTGTGAACACCAAGGGAGGAGAAACTGTTTTTGTAGTTGGCTAGCCATTCCCAGTCTTTGTTTAATCCTGATCTGATGGTGTCAAATTTGCAAATGAACTGAAGCTCAGCAGTTTCTCTTTGGAGTCTGGTCCTGAAGTTTTTTGCTGTAAGAGGGCTACCTTTACATCTGCTATTGTGTGGCCAGGGAGGTTGAAGTGTTCTCCTACAGGTTTTTGTATATTGCCATTCCTGATATCTGACTTGTGTCCATTTATCCTTTTATGTAGTGACTGTCCAGTTTGGCCAATGTACATAGCAGAGGGGCATTGCTGGCACATGATGGCATATATAACATTGGTGGATGTGCAGGTGAATGAACCGGTGATGTTGTAGCTGATCTGGTTAGGTCCTGTGATGGTGTTGTTGGTGTAGATATGTGGGCAGAGTTGGCATCAAGGTTTGTTGCATGGATTGGTTTCTGAGTTAGAGTTGTTATGGTGCAGTGTGTGGTTGCTGGTGAGAATATGCTTAAGGTTGGCAGGTTGTCTGTAGGCGAGGACTGGCCTGCCTCCCAAGGTCTGTGAAAGCGAGGGATCGTTGTCCAGGATGGGTTGTAGATCACTGATGATGCGTTGGAGAGGTTTAAGCTGAGGACTGTAGGTGATGGCCAGTGGAGTTCTGTTGGTTTCTTTCTTGGGCTTGTCTTGTAGCAGGAGGCTTCTGGGTTTAGGTCTGGCTCTGTTGATTTGTTTCCTTATTTCCTTGTGCGGATATCGTAGTTTTGAGAATGCTTGGTGAAGATCTTGTAGGTGTTGGTCTCTGTCTGAGGGGTTGGAGCAGATGCGGTTGTACCTCAGCGCTTGGCTGTAGACAATGGATCGTGTGGTGTGTCCGGGGTGGAAGCTGGAGGCATGAAGGTAGACATAGCGTTCGGTGGGTTTTCGGTATAGGGTGGTATTAACATGACCATCACTTATTTGTACTGTGGTGTCTAGGAAATGGACCTCCCGTGTAGATTGGTTCAGGCTGAGGTTGATGGTGCGGTGGAAGCTGTTGAAATCGTGGTGGAATTCTTCCAGAGTCTCCTTCCCATGGGTCCAGATGATGAAGATGTCATCAATATAGCGTAGGTAGAGAAGGGGCATGAGTGGACGAGAGCTGAGGAAGCGTTGTTCCAGGTCAGCCATAAAAATGTTGGCATATTGTGGGGCCATGCGGGTGCCCGTGGCGGTAGCACTGGTCTGGAGGTATATATTGTCACCAAATTTGAAATAATTGTGCGTGAGGATAAAGTCACAGAGCTCAGCAACAAGTTGTGCTGTGTCATCATCAGGGATACTGTTCCTGACAGCTTGTATTCCTTCTGTGTGTGGGATGTTTGTGTAGAGAGCCGCTACATCCATGGTGGCTAGGATGGTGTTTTCTGGGAGGTCACCAATGCATTCTAGTTTTCTCAGGAAATCAGTGGTGTCACGGAGATAGCTGGGAGTGCTGGTGGCGTAGGGTCTGAGTAGGGAGTCCACATATCCAGACAGTCCTTCAATGAGTGTGCCAATTCCAGAGATGATGGGGTGTCCAGGATTTCCAGGTTTGTGGATCTTGGGTAGTAGATAGAATAACCCCGGTTGGGGCTCTAAGCGTATGTTGATTTGTTCCTGTGTTAGTGTAGGGAGTGTCCTGAGTAGATGGTGCAGTTTCTTAGTATATTCCACAGTGGGATCTGAGGAAAGTGGCCTGTAGAATTTGGTATTGGAGAGTTGTCTGGCAGCCTCCTTCTGGTAGTCAGACCCGTTCATGATGAAAATAGCACCTCCTTTATCAGCCTTTTTGATTATAATGTCAGGGTTGTTTCTGAGGCTGTGGATGGCATTGCGTTCCGCACGACTTAGATTATGAGGCAAGCGATGTTGTTTTTCCACTATTTCTGCCTGTGCACGTAGGCGGAAGCATTCTATGTATAGGTCCAGAATGTCATTTCGACCCTCAGGAGGAGTCCATGTGGAGTTCTTCTTCCTGTGTTGTTGGTGGGAGGGTATCTGTGTATCAGTGCACTGTTCAGTGTTATCTTGAAAGTATTCTTTGAGTCGGAGGCTGCGAAAGTAGGCTTCCAGATCACCGCAGAACTGTATCATGTTCGTGGAGGTGCTGAGGCAAAAAGAGAGTCCCCGAGATAGGACAGACTCTTCTGCTGGGTTGAGTGTGTAGCTGGATAAATTGACGATATTGCTGGGTGAGTTAGGGTTACCACTGTTGTGGCCCCATGTGGCAGGTAGGATTTTAGACAGCTTACGGTCCATTTTCCTTTGTAGAGAGGTGAAGTGTGTAATGTAGATTTCCTGTCTTATTTTAGTAAAGTCCATTTGTGTGGAGGGTTGGTTACTTATGAAAGTCTCCAGGTTGGAGAGCTCTTTTTTGATGTTTTCCTGTTTGCTGTATAGGATGCTGATCAAGTCGTTCCTCAGTTTCTTTGATAGTGTATGGCATAATCTTTCACTGTGGTCTGTGCAGTATGTAGATAGCAATGGATTTTTCACCTTCAGTCCATTTGGTATGATGTCCATCCATTTGCATTTGGAAAGGAAGATGATCTCTGTCTGTACTTGTGCAAGTTTATTCATGAGGTTGATAGATTTCCATTCCATACGACTAAATGCAATGCCTTGCATGGAGTCAAGTATCAGAGGGGTAGCCGTGTTAGTCTGGATCTGTAAAAAGCAACAGAGAGTCCTGTGGCACCTTTAAGACTAACAGATGTATTGGAGCATAAGCTTTCGTGGGTGAATACCCACTTCATCAGACGCATGCCACATTCACCCACGAGCCACACTGTTGATCAGGTGGTTATAGAAAGTGCAGTGCAACCTGCATTATTCAGACCTCGCTATGTGAAAAGCTTACTTAAACAGAGTAGTGGTTTCAAGCACGAGCTGCGTAGTTATTCCTCTAACCTAATGACATGAACAGATTTTAAAAGGGACAAATGGCTGTTAGATGCCTAACTCCTGAAAGTCAATTGATTTAGGTGCCTTATTGCCATTTGTGCCTTTGAAAATCTCCTCCACAAATGTTTTTTATTCCCTCGGGCCCCTCAAACCTTGCGTCAGAGCGTGTCCTTTCCTGTCTACCTGCCTGCTGAACAGGTCAACATTAGGATTAGGTAAGGTAGCTTCTTAAATAATTAGGCATGCTGGGTCTGCAGAGGTGCATTGAGATGTTTCAGATGCCCTTCAGACAGTTGAGGTTGCACTGTATTTAAATTTAAAGAAAATCCTTCTTTCCTTAACTGTGCTGATAAATATTCTTTAGGGTTTTTTTTTAACTGAATGAATTTAAAGAATTATTTCTTTTCTTTCATTTATGCTTGTTTTCTTCTTGCATTTCACTTATTTTGGAGAATGAAAACAGACTAGTCAGTTTTGCTCTCGTTCTCATGTGAGAGCAAAGTTGCCAAGTTTAAATCCAAACATAAGTGTCTTTGTTCAATGATACTGCTATGGTTTGTCAAACAAACTTTTATTTATATTTTATTCACAATCTTAAACTTTGGTTAAAAGTGTCTACTTTTAACTTTAATGCATATACATTTTGGTGATCTAAAAAAGGTAATGGAAAATGTCAGTGTTTTGTTGAAGCTTAGTTAAATATTTACTACATATCTGATTACATATGTGATGTCTAGTTGTATGTAGATAATTTCAGTATATAAACACTTTTTCAAAAATTTTTCAAGCATACTCATAGTTACTTCAGTATCTTGATTTAGTGCATGGATCTTTTGTCTCTAATTTTTTTTCAATGTACAGTTAAATTTAAGTATTTATCTTACAATAACTTTGACACTTCGATTTCCAATATTTTCTAACAGTGAAGCCTGTTTAATTTTTCACTGCATCATCCAGATGTTCCTGTTTGCTTATCATTCTTAAATTTAAGATTCACAATTTTTTGAGACTTAGTCTTTTCTCAGTTAGGTGTAATGATTAGAAGGAATTCTCCAATTAAGTTATACAGCAGAGGCAGGCCATGCGAGTAGGGATTGCTCTTTTCTTGCTAACATTACACTTTTATCAATTATCTTGCAGAGGACTAAAGAGGTTTTAACTTCTGATGTTGTTCCTAACACAAAGATCCAGTCCATCTCCAGAGGATTTAGAAAGAGAAAAAAAATTGGTATGTTTACTTTTGTCTATAAATTACTTCTACATTTTGTGTAACATATCTTTCTAGTTGTGTGTAATTACTAATTTTCTGGTAGTACTTACCAACTTGGTTAGTGTGAGCAAATGGGTTTTTCTACAGGACCATACAAACTGAATTGAGCTGAAAATGACCCTTTTGTTCTTGCTGGGCCTGCTCTAGACACAAGCTGCATTGGTTTAATTAAAGGTGTGATATTAAACAGGTCCAATTTTTTGTTTATACATTCTTATATGGGTTAAAATTTGGTTTACATTATATTTGCTTGACTCTGTAATTTAACAGTGATGCACTAATGTAAACCAGGTTTAAGCCAGTGTAAAAGAGTTTCCATGCACAAAGTTGTACCAGTTAAACTGACTTAGTTAAACTGGTGCAACTTCTGTGTGTTAAGTCTCTGTTCTCTTGCTGAAAAGTGCTTTCAACAGGAGATGTAGAAATCATAGAATATCAGGTTTGGAAGGGACCTCAGGAAGTCATCTAGTCCAACCCCCTGCTCAAAGCACGACCAATCCCCAACTAAATCATCCCAGCCAGGGCTTTATCAAGCCTGACCTTAAAAACCTCTAAGGAAGGAGATTCCACCACTTCCCTAGGTAACCCATTCCAGTGCTTCATCACCCTCCTAGTGAAAAAGTTTTTCCTAATATCCAACCTAAACCTCCCCCACTGCAACTTGAGACCATTACTCTTTGTTCTGTCATCTGCTACCACTGAGAACAGTCTAGATCCATCCTCTTTGGAACGCCCTTTCAGGTAGTTGAAAGTAGCCAGCAAATCTCCCCTCATTCTTCTCTTCTGCAGATTAAATAATCCCGGTTCCCTCAACCTCTCCTCATAAATCATGTGCTCCAGCCCCCTAATCATTTTTGTTGCCCTCCGCTGAACTCTTTCCAATTTTTCCACATCCTTCTTGTAGTGGGGGGCCCAAAACTGGATACATATTCCAGATGAGGCCTCACCAATGCCAAATAGAGGGGAATGAACACGTTCCTCAATCTGCTGGCAATGTTCCTACTTAGCCCAAAATGCCGTTAGCCTTCTTGGCAACACTGTTGATTTATAGCCAGCTTCTCGTCCACTGTAACCCCAAGGTCCTTTTCTGCAGAACTGCTGCCTAGCCACTCAGTCCCTAGTCTGTAGCTGTGCATGAGATTCTTCCGTCCTAAGTGCAGGACTCTGCACTTGTCCTTGTTGAACCTCATCAGATTTCTTTTGGTCCAATCCTCTAAAATAGTAATTGTGTGTCTTTAAATTGTGCTCTCAAGGTCTCTACCAGTCCTATGATCATATGCTGTTATACCTATTGTAAAGCCATTGCTGAAACTGGATAAGCGTACTGTGAAGGTTGTGGTAGTCATTTGTTCTGTTGTCTTGGCCACTTACATTGAAACACCTAAAAAATAGGCTGATTTTAAAAAGAATCTTAGTACTGCTATACTAACTGCTGTGCCACAGTGAAAGTGGTGGTAGAACGCTGTGTTCAGAATTAAGTGCTGAAGATTAGGAAAGGTAACAATCCTTGTGGCTCTGCTCCCTTCAGCCTTTTCTGGCTCCTATGACCTGATAGACACACAATTTTTGTACTGATTTTCAAGTATTTCTGTTAGGGATATGGTAAAAAATAAAGTTAGATTGTTATAGCCCCTAATGTGGATGCAGTTATATACCATTATAAAGGTGCCTTATGCTGATACAGTTTATTCTCCTAAATTTACAGGAGTTAGCCATACCACTATAAGCACATTGAAACCACGATAGTTAGTGGTACAATCCTGGTATAAAACTGGCATAGTTAAAGCAGGATAAAAATTATGTTTAGACAAGCCCTAAGTGTGGGTCGAGGAGAAGGGAAGCTGTTGGAAGGGAGAAGCATTTGTAGATGAAGTAGATCATGAAGAGGGAAGAGGAAACTGAGGCAGACAGTTGACATATAGAGGAAAGAAGGACATTTACATAACACATATGGTGAACGGCATAGGGGAAATGAGAGAGTGGATAAACACAGAGAAAATTCAGAAGACTAAAACCCAGTGTAGGAGGAATGAGTGCACACAAAAGTAAAGGCACAATTAAAATACGTAAGACTTGAATTCAGGAGATAATGAAGGGAGAAACTGTGGAGAAACATACAAAGGGGGATAACATAGGAGACAATCATACAGAACATATAAAGAACTAATACTTTTTTCTCCCCCATTCACTCCTGCAGTGGGTTCCAGTTTTTTGTGCAGGGAAAGGAAGAGGAATAAGCACACCTATTCTTTCCTTCATGACTAGTATCTTGTGTTTTATTTTAAAATTCAGGTCACCTAATAGTCATAACATACATTACAAACACCATATTGATAACTCTCACTTTGCTACAACTGTTTTGGTTCTTGAGAAATGTTTGGGGAAACTGTTGTAGTTTGGCTGGTTTTGGTTTTTCTTAATTTAAGATTCTAAACTTCACTTACTTATTGAGGTACTTTAATCACTTAGTATGTTTTTGGCCCTTTGCTCCAGCATTTGGGATTTTCTTATTTAAAAGAGGTACCTAGTCCCTGCACCAAGAGATTAATATATTAAATATTAAAGTGCAGATATGTAAAACCAGAACGATCCCAACAATTTTTTATTTGTTGCTCTTTAGATAAAGGCTGGGAATGGTATGTTTGTGAAGGTTTTCAGTACATACTCAAGAAGCAAGCAGAAGCTCTGCAAACTTTAGGAGTGTGTCCACAGATGAAGGTATGTTGATCTGAGCATAAGGTTTTGTATTAGTACATATAGTCTTTATGATTTTTACTTAAAGAATATAATTATTTTAAGGTAGACAGAATAATTTCCTCTTAAAAACTGACAGGAAATGGGCCTATAGATGAGGGGCTGAGAAAGAGAACCTCTGAAAATAAAATTTACCAGGAACGGTAAAAGTAATTTATAATTTTATAAACAAGGTTTTCGTGAAAGCAGGCTCAGAACATTTTTCAAGATTCTTGAATTGTAAAGTCACAATTTGTTTTTTCAGACATATGATTTTATAAGATATAGACTAATCATTCATTATCATGCTTATCAGGATGAAATTCTATGCAATTTCTGGAGACGTTACCTTCAGAAGAGCAAACAGGCATATTGCACCACACCAGCTAGTTATACTAGCAAAGCATTATCTGTAAGTGAAGTTCATAGCTGATAAGCAAATTATTTTGCATTGATCTTTTAAAATGTTGTTTTTGTTATTCAAGCCATGCATACAACTTGCTCATTTTAATGAAGCCCATTTTCTAAATATATTTTGCCATTTTAAGAAAATATCTGTTGTGCTGATGGAAAATTGTTCATTTTTAATATCTTGCTTTGCTATTGTGTAGCCAACCAGCAGATGGAGCACAAATTACAATGCACTATATTTCTAGAGCTGTGTTGACACTGACATAATCCACAAATGATGGCATAGAAACAAATATGTTATGGGTATGTCTACGCTTCAATACAACACCTGAGGCTGGCCCATGTCAGCTGACTTGGGCTTGGGCTACAGGGCTGCTTAATTGAGATGTAGATATTCAGACTCTGGGTGGAGCACAGGCTCTGGCACCTTCCCCTCTCATGGGAATTAGCACACCCTGGATTTGTTAACATATGGCTTAAACATCTACTCTCATTTGTAACCCCAGGTTTGGAATTGTTGAATCCTGGGTCACCACCTGGGGCTCCAGTGTCTACACTGCATTGTGCAGGTCTGAGTTCAACTACCCATATCCCAGAATTTCTAGTGCCCTGTCAAAATGGCTGCTCTAACCCTTTGTTCCTGGTGCAGTGTGGGAAAACTTGACTGTCTACCACACTTGACTATCCAGAGGACAGAGAAAGTTATCCTGTGGGGTGATTTTGGCAGACTCACAGAGCACGAGTCCAGTAGTGCTGCGTCTACACTGCAGAGCAATAGGGCTTGAACCCTGGGTCTGGGCTTGGCTCAGGCTCAGACCCTCCACCCCTGTAGGGTCCTGAGACCATGGGTCCAAGCTCTGGGTTGACACAATTTGTGTGTTGATGGAAGGGGGTTAGGCTTGAGCCTGAGTTTGACCCCTGGGCTTACACTGTGGTGTAGACATACCCTAAAGAGCTATCTTGGCTTGTGATCCATAGGCGAGACTATTTGCAGATGTGAATCCTGGTGGTCATGCAAGTATTTTGTGTGGAGAGTGGTTCTTTTTGGACCTATCTTTGAACCTGTGTTTGGAAGAGCCACTCCTGTGGAGTTATCTGATCTCACACAGGTTATAGAGCTAGTCAAAAAATTATTTAGTTCTAGAATTTTCCAATCGGCTCCAAATCTAACAGTCGTCCCCCTTCTCAAATTGCATATTGCATGAATATTTATGATTCTGTGTATTGGATACCTCCTGGGTAGTATGGCAGGTTGGGATGGCTACCTAATCATTGGAATTATTTTGTTCTGACAAACACACTGTTAAAATGAGGAAGAGCTTTTTGAAAGGGTGGTTTCTAATGATATGAATTTACATAATTAAAAGCAAAAACATTCTTGGTATGACTTGCTTTAGCTTACACCTAGACTGTCAATCACATGTTTGCTAACTGAGACATTATTGAGCGTTTACAAGTCAAACTATTGCATTAAAACTAACATGGGATAAAACTGTAACTTATTTAAAAAAACAGATATCTGACATCAGTACAGATATGGATAGCGAACCAGAGAGAATAAGTATTCATGGCTTGTCATCTTTCTCTGAAAGTGATGGAGATTTACAGACAGAAAGCAGCTTTGGACATGTTTCTTCCATTGGCAATGCCTCAGGTAGGAGCAGATATAATTTGAAGTCACTGTTCTATATTGTTAGGATGCGTTTTAAAAATGACTGTTTAGTACTAATCAGAAGGATTTGTTGCTTATATAGAGGTAGAAAATGTAGATGGAGGATTTCCTTCTTATTTATCAACAGTGTACTAGTCATATAAATAGTCACGGTCACTCTCCAAGGAGTTAAAGGCTAGACAGGCACGTGAAACAGGAGGGTCGCTGAAAAAAGTTCTATTTTTTCTTGGGGGAGGGCGGGGGGAGTTGTTTGGTTTTGTTTAGGGGAGTGATGGTGGTGGTTGTGGACAGGGTTAAACTTTACCTGATGACTGCTACTCAGGGTAGAAAAATAATGAGCCAGCATGCCCCTCAGGACCATGCCTTCAAAAGCACTGCAATTTTAAGGCAGTAACATTTGTGTAGTTAGTGACAGTCTTGTCACTCATATCTCTATTAAGTTTTCAAAAATATAGTTTATTGTGTGTCTTACTTCTGTGTTATCTTCTTTCAATTTCTGGCTGTAGTTAACTTTTTCTTTCCTTTTGGCAAAAAATTGTTTTTTTTCGGTTTTTTTTTTTTTTTTTCTCTCTCCCATTTTTTCCCCTACGTTATGCTCTCTGGTTTCTCTTCTATATTTTCTGTCTGTATGTTTTTCTCCCCCCATAACTCCTCTCTACCATAATTCAGTTTTTTAACTTCCCATCGATCTCTCCTGTCCACTCACAGACTTGGAAATTTTACTAGACGCTTACTAGCCAGTGTACTAACCCTTCTAACTAAAACCCAATACAAAATTGGAGGGGCAGGGGCACTGTCTGGATAGAAGCCAGGAATACCACAGCATCTGATGTTGGATATAAAAGCATCTAAGTAGATTTGAACTTTTACGTCAACTTCAATCTTGTCCATAACCTATTTTCACGAATCTCTTTGCTTGCATCTCCTTTTGCTTCCCCGGTGCCAACTCTATTTTGCCCTATGTCAGATGCTACTGCCATGTTTGTCTTGCTCCTGTTCGCATTTTTTCTCCCTTTACGCAGCCTCATATGCCTGGAATCTCATCATTCTTTCCTGTGCTGTTCCATTTGGTCTTCTATTGAAATGCAGATCTTCTGAAACCTATAAACTATAGTTTTCCCTTCAGTGAAGAACAACAAGAATAACAAAATTATAAAAGAAAAAAATCCAAACAAAAATAATGGAAACAGTAAAACACAGGCTTAGCTTTCCCATTCATTAACAACACGTGTTTTATCCCGTTTCCCATCCTATGTCTTTACATTTTCTACTTAAGTTGCAGGGTCTTCAGAGCAGGGATTTTTGTCGTCTTCTATATTCACATAGCACACTGACACTATACAAATAATATGTAGGGCAAAGTTTTTTACTGAACATTTCCTGTTATAAATGTTCCAACAGGTTGCTTTACAATTCACATTGTCTGTAAAGCTTCTTCCTTCCTTAGTTCCTTCTTCCATTTAGGACGGTTCCTTTCTGCAGTAACATTTATCTTTTATAGCAGTTGTAGAGTAACAGATATAATTTTGAGGAAGGCAAATAATTACCAGATCCTTCCTATACTCCTGGGGGAATTCTGCACCACTGTGCATGTGCAGAATTTGTGTTCCCTGCAGAAAATTGACTTTCTGGTGGGGAAGCAAAGGGAAGCCACAAGAGTGGTCATGTGACCCTCCCCAGCAGTATGTTTCGGATACCCAGGGCAGCTGGCAAAGAGGTAAATCACTGTGGGGTAGGGGGCAGGACTGGCGAAGACCCGGCTGATGGCTCCTACCCTGTGCCGGGCTCAGCTGCTAGTCCCGGCTGGGCTTGGGAGGGCGGGACTTCCTCTTCCCCTGCACGGCATCAGGGGCTGTCAGACTCATCCCCAGATTTTTCCCGTGCATCCAGACCCCCCTCATACCCAGATGCTCCCGCCAAACCTCACCCCCATCGACTCAGGACACTCCCCCTCCCCCCGATGAGCTTCACTCCCCCTGTACCTGGACCATGCCATCGAGCCACCCGGATCCCCACTCCCCCAGCATCTGGGACCCCCCTGCAGAGTCCCATTACCATTGCACCTATGCATCCAGACCCCCTCCCACCCAACACACACAGATCCCACACTGAGCCGCCTGCACCCAGATTGCCCCACACAGAACCGTCTCAACCCGCACCTGGATCCCCCCACACTAAGGCTAGGTCTACACTACCCGCCTGAATCGGCGGGTAGAAATCGACCTCTCGGGGATCGAATTATCGCGTCTCTTTGGGACGTGACATTCGATCCCCGAATCGACGCTCTTACTCTACCAGCGGAGGTGGGAGTAAGCGTCGTCGACGGGAAGCCGCGGAGGTCGATTTTGCCGCCGTCCTTACAGGGGGGTAAGTCGGCTCCGATACGTCAAATTTAGCTACGCTATTTGCGTAGCTGAATTTGCGTATCTTAAATCGACCCCCCCCCTCCCCCCGTAGTGAAGACCTGCCCTGAGTCTCTCCACACTTGGATCCTGCCTTGCTGAGCCTGCCTGCCACACCTGGTGCACCTGGCACAGAGGGGCAGGCCTGGTCCTTGCGCTGTGTCAGGGTTGGGTGCAGCCTTACCACTGAGTCTGTGTACCGGGGAGAAGCTGCACAGTGATCTCCCACCTCTGTGCAGCTAGTGGCCTGTGCTCCGCAGTGCCATGCTGGAGCCTCCACATTTATTTGACAAATAAAATTTGCAGAATTTTGCAGAATTTTTATTTTTTTGGTGCCGAATGCCCTCAGGATTATTCCTAGCTTATCATTGTTTCACACTGTGGATTACAAAAATGGAGTCCAGATTTTTTTAAGTGATCGCACCTGTTTTCATAAAAGTACTTTAAAAGTCAATACTGTTGAATTCAGCAACATAAAATTACCGGTGCGTTTTGGATAGCTGTGTCTAAGAGATCATATGTACAGAGTAGCTGTCATTTGTATAATGAAAGTTGGTCCAAATGAGCAGTATTGCATTTTTTTCTATGCATTGGCTACTCATAAATTGTGTATAATTAAATTTTTTCTGTGCTGTTTCATTGAATTACTGATGGTTTGCTGAGGGGGATTTGGTACCCTTTTAAAATGCTTTTCTAATTAATAAACATTTTATCTTTGTTATGTTTATCTGGGGATAATAGCTCATTATTCAGCAAGCTGATAGGCTAACATTCCATTTGGTGTAGTCTAGTCGTTGTTTGAGAAGCCTATTAAATTCTTAAGTTGTTGTTATGATGTTTAATTGTATGTTGTGTCAGGTTTAGTGCTGACTGAGCAATGTGCCCTTTATAACCTGGAACAAATGAAAGGAAAGCTGCTATGTCACCAAGACAGCTACAAATAGAACAAGAGGATTATTTTTAATTAAGCCATATATAAAGTTAGCAATGAAGTTTCAACCACAAGGCCTCCTTTAGACACAGCGTATACATATAAAACTGATGATTGAAAGGATTACCTGACGTTCATGCTTTTGTTCTGTAACTCACATGTACACAATAGATGTTCTAGGATAGCTTTTGTGTTGACTTCGCCATTTTTACCAGACATGCACTGGGGAGTCAGTTCCTTGATAACTCTATTTTAAATGTCTTTGCGGCATCTTTAATGCCTGAGATAAAAATGTAATTCTCTTTATGAGGGCACTTCTGAGAGCCAAGAATTGCTGAGTTCTAATCCCCAACTCTGACACATTCAGCTTTGGCAAATCACTTATCCTTTCTTCCTTGATATCCCATGTGTAAAATTAGGATAATACTTATACCTACCTCATGGGATGTTGTGAGGGATTAGTCAATGTTGGTAATGTGCTGTATAAGAGTTAAGTATTAGCACCTTTCTAGAGAGCCAAGTTTAAACATGGTTATCACTAGAATGGTGCTTTCAGGTTTAACATTTTTGTATAGACTGAGGCGACGCACACAGTTTTTCTAGTGTGCCAGTGGGAATTTCCCCTAGAGAATGGCCATACTGGGTCAGACCAAAGGTCAATCTAGCCCAGTATTCTGTCTTCTGACAGTGGCCAATGCCAGATGCTTCAAAGGGAATGAACAGAACAGGTAATCATCAAGTGATCCGTTCCATAACCCATTCCCAGCTCCTCAAATATTTGTTACTTACCCTGATCTCTTATTAGCGAGTCTGTGGAGCTACATTGGCACTGGTTCTCAGCCAGCTTGTTGTCTTGTGTTGCAGTAAGAGGTACTTTGAGAGTTAAGCCATTTAGAACACTAATGCCAAAGCTTTGATTTGAAACCGCCACTAATGGCTAAACACAGCTTGTTGGATGATCAATTTCTCTTGTTCTCTGCATATTTACATGTTCAGTGTAGCATATTTTGTCTATAAAGTTATTTTATATGTAACTTTTTTTTTCTTATCAGCAAGAGAAACCACATCTATCTGCTCCGGATCGGTAGATGGTGGTTCGTATTTACTTAAGAGGAAAAAAGGGAACTTGAGGATGTCTATGCCAATGACACTTTCATTCTGCTATATTGCATTACTCTGGCTGAGAGAGCCAGTGACATTATCAGATCTCTTAAGGTATGAATAGTCTCTGTGAAATATTTGTTGCTGTTGTAAGTAATGTTTTTTTAATTTGGGTTGCTTGCTTGTTAACTAGTTGAATTATAGGTAGAGCTGATAGTGATCCGATATTTTGTTTGCCGCACACTTTCCATGATAGAAGATTCTTGCAACCATTTTTTGAGAGTCTCTAATAGCTCTGTTGTTTGCAGCAAGTGTTTGAAATTTGTCAGGGAGAAAGTCCTAGTGTTAGAGAAGTGCCTTTTCTTTGTCCCATGAAATTATTTTCAGATTTAGTTGAGTTGTAAATAGATAAATATTGCAGTTTCACTTGTCTCATTTGTATTCCTGAGGAGAATGTTGATAGCCTGCCTAATAACTGAACGAATACTCTAAAGATCCAGGTTTGTGCTACTGCCAGAACATCAGCAGCAATACAAACCATAAATCTGGCATTTTCTAGCTTTCATTTGCTTGACCTAAATAATTGTCTTTTTAACACATTTTTGTATGCAATAAAGTATAGACATAGATTCAATGACAGACCAAATTGAGAAAAAAAAATATGCCCAGAAATTGTGCTAATATTCAGGCTTGCCATTTTAGTTCTTTATAGGTAGTTCATGAATATTTAAAACAATAGAATAATAGTCGTGCTAAATGCTCCACCTTTTTTTTTTGTGTGGTTTTCCCGTAAAGTGGTAGTCAGCTGACTACTGCTCCTCCCCTGTGATACGTGCTTGGGCACCACATCAGGCAACCAGACAGTTTCTAAGGGATTTATATTACAGCACCAAAAATATTCTTATTGCTATTTGGTGCATTCAGTACATAACCTTGCAACTAACTCATCTTAAAGGGACACTGTGGTTAAAAATAACATTTTTAAAATGTTCCTACATATGTTTCAAATAGCAATATTTTTTTTTAGTGTCATTAAACTAACATTCAATGTGCTGTTTATTTTTTGTATTCCTCTCAACAAGTAAGACTACAGTTTCAACATTGTAGACTTCACGTGGCTGTAGAATAATACAGTAATGTAGTCCAAACCTGGCTAAATCTAGCTATGTTGGCAAGACCAAAATTGTAACCAGTTTGTTCTACTTCTGTTTTGTGGCCTTGGCATATTATTTTTTTCATATTATACACAGGACCTAGGGCTTATCCACACTTGGATTACCATATTTAAAAGGACAGAGACTATAAGCCCCATCTGTGTTTTTGCAATAGAAAAGTGTTTGAAACCGTGTTTAAACATCGGTTATTCTAAATTCTAAACAACACTTCTTAAAATGAGTGTCGACGTGCCAAAAGATGTTAGAACTGCTTTTAAAAAATATTCTCGAACGTGGGCTCTTGGAGTAGGTGTCATACGAAAATTGGATGTTTTCCCACACAATGTTTACCTTCATTGTAGTATTTGTGATATTCTCTATATTTAGAATGGAGAACATGTCACTTAGGTTAACTGCTGTGAGTGATAAATAAGGCTGCGATTCTTTCACGGAGGTCGCGAAAGTCATGGATTCTGTGACTTTTCATGACTTCTGCAGTGGCTGATGTGGCTGACTTCAGGGCCAGCTGCTCAGACGCCCCACAGCCAGCTGCACTGGCTGCTGCTGGAGCGACCTGGGGCCAGCTGCTCCGGTGGTACCTGGGGCCAGCCACACTGGCCGCTGCTCGGGAAGCCTGGGGCCAGCTGGCTCCAGGGACCGCCTGAGCAGCAGTCCTGGGGGAGATCCCGGGGAGCACCCGAGCAGCGGTCCCCAAGCAGCTGGCTCCAGGGACCACTGGAACAGCGGCTGGTGTGGCTGGCTCGGGGAGTGCCCAAGCAGCGGTCCTGGGTGTGCCCTGGGGACTGCCCAAGCAGCAGTGGTCCCAGGGTGGCTGGAGCAGGGGCCCCAGAAGTAGAGATTTAGTCAGGGGTATTTTTGGTAAAAGTCATGGACATGTCGTGGGCCATGAATTTTTATTTATTGCCCGTGACCTGTCCAAGACTTTTATCAAAAATACCTGTGACTAAATCGTAGCCTTAGTTGATAAGTGTCCAACTTTTTAATGGGTCCTTTATACTAGGGCTATGAGGGTTCTTTAAAAACAGTTGTAACAGGTAGAACCATGTTTAGTGAGTACTGTGTTTAAACTGTATCAAAATACATCTTGCCCCAGGCAAATATAGACTGGTCCTGTAGTGCAGTTGTCTAACACAGTTCTCCAGGGGTTGGGGAGGGAGAGGGGATTTTACTGTCCATAATGGTTTGGAAAACTGCATCATTCCAATCCCAGTGTAGACTGTGGACATTTCAGTTATATATTTAATTCCTTATTTTTGAATCAGTGATGTCAAATTGATGGAAGAGTGCACAGAATTTCAGAATAAAAAGTACTAGGCAAGATAACTTTCTAAAATCACATTAAAACTGTTACAAATGTTGCAGTAATTCTATTATTTATTTAATGTATCTTCATTTTAAAATAACTTTGAATCTAGTATTTCTAGAATAATTCAGCATAAACTTATACTGTAGTTCTAACTATACTATGAATTTAAATTCCAGATCTCAAAGAAATGGTCATAGAGTGCAGTCATAGGGAGTGATTGACATTCACTTACAGTAGTTCTTCTTAAATGGAATGTTGATAAATAGCAAGTAATATACAACAAGTAGCTTCTTTTCTATGACTTAAATCTTCTTAAGGAATACCTGTTTGGTAATTTCTCTAACTTTGTTTTTACTTATAAAAGTGAGTTGAAGGAAGGGATATTCTGTCTCTGCCCTCTAGTATGTGGTGTTTCTTTTACTGCCTTCACACTGTCTGCCAGGGCCTAAACAAAGAGAAGTACTGCATGTTTGTTCAGTGAAATTTTGCAAACAGGCACTGACTTTTTAGGAATATGTCATCTCAATATTGGGCCATCCAAGTTCCTGGTGTCCTTTTCTAAAATCAACATTGCATTTTCTGTTACAACAGTGGCTTCTTTCATTTTTTTTTTTTAAACAACTGCTCTTTGCTGTTTTTGTTCTTGCTTATTGAATTAAGGTAACTGCCCAGATATCTAGGTATAAGCCCCCCCCCCCCCCCCCCCCCCCCCCCGCCTGACCAACATAAGTTACATTGACAGAAGCGCTGGTGTGGACAGTGCTATGTTGGCGGGAGATGCTCTCCTGCTGACATAGCTACCGCTGCTTGTTGGGGGAGGTTTAATTATGTAGACGGGAGAACTCTCTCCTGTCGGCATAGATCAGCTACATGGGAGGTCTTGCAGTGGCGCAGCTGCATCGGTACAGCTGTGTCGCTGTAAGGTCTCTAGTGTAGAAATAGCCTAAGCGTGTTATCCTTGTGACTTATGTACTTGGTACTGGTGTATTTTAAAAATAAACCAAAAAATCTTCCCTAACTCTACAGTCAAAACCTATGCTGTATCTGAGTATGTCTTAAACCTCCTGCAGGAAATTTAATTTTCTTGTTTTTCTCTTTGTAATAAACACATTGTGCAACATTCATACCAACCAGAGTATCACTTCCTACCAGGAATCCTATTTAAAAAATCCTGGGATTTTAAAAAAGTGTAGTGAATTTAGCGTTCATGAAACCTGTTGGTTTGATAACTTTCTAGGCTGAGGCCTGTTGTTTAGCCTCATCATGGGTAAAGTTTCCACTAATGTGCCTTAATTCCGACCTAGAGGGGCCACCTCTTATAGTGAGGAGAATTCAGTCTCCCTCTCAATTCAAAACTTGGTTTGTTTGCTGATAATGTCCAGCTGGGTGCCAGATATTGGTAAGTGTTATGGTGTTTTTTGTGATTTAAACAGCTGCCTACTAAGAGCTAGACCACAACTCATTTCATGTGAGCTATTGAATAGCCAGCAGATGACACTATTGAGATGGGCTGGATTTGAACCTGTGATCTCTATGTGAAAAAGCCCATGTTATTACCACTCTCTCCTCCCTTCATTCCCCCCCCCACCATATTTTTTGAAAAATTAAAAATCTGAAGTGTGTTTAGACATTTATCTAAAATAAATGCATTTTATATATTGATAAAATACATAATTGTATGGTTTTCTGATTTAGTTACATATAAGCTAACAGTTCTATGACCCTGATTGCACGAGCTCTGCATACTTGCTGTGGAAATATTAAACTCTTCTTTCATGTTTAGTTAAGTATGTAATGGATTTGGGGAGCAAAATGCTATAGCCCTATAACAGTGTTATCATAAAAGTGTACTTACTGTCTTCTTAAGAGCATAGCCCAATATTGAAAATATTTTAATTAAATTATTCTACCTGTTTGTAAGAATTGACTGTATAAAGAATGTGCAAGGAAAGCTGGATATAAACATGTCTGTAGTAAACTCAGTGCCCTAACTTTATCTGAGAGTCACATTTGAGCTTGAATTTTAATATTCTAGCTCTCATGTTAAAGAACAGGCAGCCTTAAGTGCCATTTAAAAAAAAAAGTACATGATGCTTTAAACTAAATGTTGATTTGACTTAAACTCTTTTTTTATTTAGGTTTGTTATAGATGGTCACATTCCTTACTTGAATGCTTTTCAGTATTTTCCAGAGGAGATGAAATTGTATGGAGTTGATCTCAAGATCTTTCGTGTAGAGGTGACTTTTATCCTTTTATTTTTATTTAATAAGCTACATATCTTATGGTATATTGTACTCCTGGGTTATGGTACTGACAATTTGAGTGAATCTACCTTTGTTGTGATATTATTTTGCTTCCTGGTAGTCATGCAGGAGCCAGTGAGCAAATTATTCTGATTACTTTCATATTTAAATTAGAATAATTAGGTTGATAACTTGATAAGTACTGAACAGGTTTTTCTCATAGATTCCAGGGCCAGGAAGGACCATTGTGATCATCTAGTCTGCCCTCATAGAACACAGGCCATAGAACTTCTCCCAAAATAATTCCTAGAATATATCTTTTAGAAAAATGTCTGATCTTGATTTAAAAACTGTCAGTGATGGAAAGTCCACCACGACCCTTGGTAAATTGTCCCAATGATTAATTACTGTCAAGTGTTTGTTTGTATTATGTTTGCTTATCTCTTGGGAAATACAGAAAACATAAATAGAATTTAGGCTCTTTTTCCCATAAAGGCATAATATCCTTTGAATACTCAGTTGAAATCTCCCTCTCTTTGGAAGCAAGTTCTATCAGTTTTTATAGTATGATGTGTTCTTGCTGTATTTATTGGATTTTTTTTCTTTTTTAGTGTTTAGTTTAACAATGTAAATTTTGCTAAAGAGATCACGTTAATATGTTCTGTCCATATGAAAATAGTCTCCCTGCTGCTTGTACTTAGCTGCCTTTCCCTTTGGCCCACTTTGTAGAACATCTACAGCACTTACTGCCTCGTACCTCTTCTAGCTATGGGATTCTCTCTTTGAGGGCACTGCACAGTCAGAGCCTCTTCTGCCTAATGAGGATTAGAGAAATTGGTGGCTTCTGTGTGTGTGGTTTCTTTTCCTCCTCCCTTTCCCCCGGGAAGGAGAACTTGACAACATCCTGTACCTGACCATTGATGCCCTACCAAGGAAGGCATTACAAGAGCTGACTGGAAACAAGAATTATGTTTCATGAAAAATTTTGAGGATTCAGAATTTTCATTCCACCTAGAAAGAAAACCGATCTTTTGACTTTCCCCAAAAAACGAGGGAGGGAAGGAGAGAGACCAGAATACCCCAGAATGTCCAATAACCTGTTGGCTAAGGCACTTGCGTGGAACATGGAAGACCCAGGTTCAAATCCCTGCTCTGCCTGATTCAAGAAATATGTTAGCCAGGCAGTCAGATTGCACAGATTATCCTCTGAGGAAAAAGTCTGAGGTGCACATTTTAACACACTTAAAACCACTGTCACCAAACAAGAACACTTCACCAGAGAAGTAGACTGCATCATTGAACAGGCCACCCAAATACCCTGTATTGAAGCAGGTTCTCTCAGGAAAAAGCCCTTTGATCACACACTCCTAGTCCATAGACTCATAGGACTGGTAGGGACCTCAAGAGGTCTTCTAGGCCAGTCCCCTGCACTCAAGGCAGGATGAGCCAACGATCCATTGTAATAAGAGCAAAAACAAAACTGCGATTGTGGTCCGTGCTTACAATTAAATGTGCACACTGCATCGTAGCAAACGGATTAATGTACAGATGGCAACAACTTTGTGTAATGATATGCAAGCTTAACAGAAATTTATCAAAATGCACAGCGACATCTGGGGACCTGATATATCTGGAGGAATCAGCTTTGCTAGTTATTCATTGCTTGTGAGTAAAGCTTCATTCCATGCCCTCCCTCCCCCCCTCCAGTTTGAGAACCTCTGATCTAGACTATCCCTGACAGGTGTTTGTCTAACCTGCTCTTTAAAATCTCCAATGACAGAGATTCCATAACCTCCCCAGGCAATTTATTCTAGTGCTTAATTACCCTGATAGTTAGGAAGTTTTTCCTAATGTCTAATCTAAACTGCCCTTGCTGTAATTTAAGCCCATGGCTGCTTGTCCTATCCTCAGAGGTTCAAGAGAACAATTCTTCTCCCTCCTCCTTGTAACAACCTTTTATGTACAGTACTTGAAAACTGTTATTTTGTCCCCCCTCAGTCTTCTCCAGACTAAACAAACCCAATTTTTCAATCTTCCCTAATAGATCATGTTTTCTAGACCTTTAATCGTTTTTGTTGCTCTTCTCTGGAATTTCTCCAATTTGTCCACATCTTTCCTGAAATGTAGTGCCCAGAACTGGACACAATACTCCAGTTGAGGCCTAATCAGCGTGGAGTAGAGCAGAAGAATTACTTATTGTGTCTTGCTTACAACACTCCTGCTAATACATCCCAGAATGGTGTTTGCTTTATTTTAACAACAGTGTTACACAGTTGACTCATATTTAACTTGTGATCCATTCTGACCTCCAGATCCCGTTCCACAGTATACCTTCCTAGGAAGTAATTTCCCATTTTGTATGTGTGCAACTGATTGCTCCTTCCTAAGTGGAATACTTTTACTCTTAAGTGGAGTCACCTACCACCCCACACTAGAACTCCCATGGGGTATCATTAAACATTAACAGCCCATACACGATGGGGACCACATGCTGAAAGAAATCTTTCCCAACCCCCGCTTCTGGCTTTCAAGCAACACCCTCCAACTTTGCCAAGCTCATCATGAGAAGCAAGGTCTCCCTACAGACCAGGACACATCAACTCAAAGCAGCACCAGATCCTGCCAGAACAACAGATGCAAAACCTGCAAACATATCTCCACAGCTACGATGATCAATACCCCCACAACAAACCTTTCAAGATTCATGGGTCCTACACATGCATATCACAACATGTGGTATATCTCATCCAGTGCACTAAATGCCCCAATAACTGTGTGGGTGAAAACAAAATATCGTTATTCTCTCAAATGAACTCTCACAAAAAAATGATAAAAGTCAAAAACACCATGTCACCTGTGGACGAACAGGTTTCACAACTTGATAACTCCATATCTGACCTCTCAATCCTCATCCTCAAAGGAAATCTGCACAGCATCTTCAAAAGACAAGTCTGGGAACTTAAATTCATCTCTCTGCTAGACACTAAAAATCATGGACTTAATAAAAACACTGGATTTATGGCTCATTTCAGCAATCTGTAACCCACTAACCCTCCTTTGTTGTATGACTGTAGACGAGTTAACTGCCTACTTCACCTTGAATGTTCTGTTCTACCTTGTATTTAGCTGTGACACTCTGAGGGTATATCTACTTTGCAATTAGATACATGTGGCTGGCTTATGCCAGCTGGCTCAGGCTAAGGGGCTGTTTAATTGTGGTGTAGACATTTGGGCTCAGGCTGCAGCCTTTGCTCTAGGACCCTGTGAGATGGGAGGGTCCCGGAGACGTCCTTGAATGTCTACACCACAGTTGAGCAGCCCTTTAGCCCAAGCCCCAAGGGCCAGAGTCAGCTTGCACGGGCCAGCCTTGGGTGTCTAATTGCAATGTAAACATACTCATAGTATCTTTTCCAGGCCTGAAGAAGAGCTCTGTGTAAGCTCGAAAGCTTGTTTCTTTCACTAACAGAAATTGGTCCAATACAAAATATTATCTCATCTACCTTGTCTCATTCATATTCGAAATAGGGCTGAGCTGCAAAATATCACCGAGTTTTCCAAAGTGTTGAGTGTTCAGAGGTCTGCCCTTGGATTTTGCATCTCTCTAATTCACATATTTATAGTCAAAAGTACAGTTGAAAGATGGCTGTGGTGATTATGGTCTGTGAATATTTTTCTTTCTTGTGACCACCTAATATCTTGATTGCTTAATAAAAGTGGCTTGAGTTAAACAGATGCCACAAATATGCAGCAGAATCAATTCAGCATTGTTCAAACAAAGCTAAAGAGGTAAAAGCCGTTTTGTTTTATAAATCTGTCAAGTTTTAGTTGTTAAAGCAGTGGGAGTCTTTTATTTTCCCTGTGAGTGTTGGATGCAGAACAATTGCTAGTTAGCCTGAAGGAAAATATAAAATCAGAATTTCCCATGGATTATGAAGCGAGACTTACACAACAGTTTTGATAACTTCCTGCCATGCGTGACAGAAACAAGGATTGGATTTGTGGGCCTATATGTTAACCTTAAGGGCTCAGTTTTAGAAATTAGTACTTTATATCAAATCCTTATGGATTTCAAATAATCTGCGCTGGTTCATTATAAAATTTGTTAGATGATTGTCAGTAAATCTCCTTTTAGGATTAGGTTTACATTACCTAATTAATCCAAAGAGAAGTAATAGCTCTACTACACACTCCTTCAAAAAATAGTTCAGTACATTCACAGCACTGAATCTACTTTATGGAAAACTACATTAATGTGGCTAATAATGAAAAATGAACATTTTTTTTAGTGTATTCTGGCCTTATATTTAAACTGGTTAGTTTTTCTTTAGATTTTTTGTTAAAGGATTTTTTGTGTGTGCGCACGCAATGCTTACAATAAGCACCTATTATAAATAGATTTTAAAAAATGTTTGAATGCAAAAGCATTTTGGGTTTCTAAAAATCATCCATTGTTATTGTTTTTTTTCACTTCTTTAGCACACATTCCTTAGCTAGCCTTACAAAGATTAGTCTGTATTTAAGATAAATGGATTACTGTGTCCTAATAAAAGAAAATGATCACTTATGTTTCCAATTTTTTGAAAAAAAAAAAATTGGAAAAATTTCTTTACTACATTAGTAAGGCTGACTTAAGGTTTTTTAAGGTGACAAAATATTTAACTATAAGGGTGGTTAAGCTCTGGCATAGGCTTCAAAAGGAGGTTGTGGAATCCCTGTCATTGGAGGTTTTTAAGAATAGGTTGGACAAACACCTGTCAGGGATGGTCTAGGTTTACTAGGTTCTGCTTCAGTTCAGGGGGCTGGACTTAATGACCTTGTGAGGTCCCTTTCAGCCCTATGTTTATATGGCTCTATAAAACAATATTGAACTACTGTTTTGAGGTCCAATCCCACAAAGATATGTATGCAAGTAGTCTCCTTGAAACAAATTAGAACCGTTCATGTGGCTAGCGATACTAATGTGCATAAGTCTTTGTAGTATCAAGGGAAGTCTA